GGGGATGGGGGGGGAAGTTTACTGACAAACGCCTGCATTTAGGCAGCGCGTTGGATGAGCTCGTTTGTAAAACGTCCCTTAATGCATTTCAGGGGCTAAAATAATGACTATCCCAGCCTGACAAAGGAAAACGTCACACACTCTTTATTTTCTTCTAAAGCAGCCCCACAAAGGTGTGTGATCTGGAGTCTGTAGTGCAACTCGACGGTAAGCTAAGAGTATAAGGAGGGAACGTTTGAAAATACTTGGCATTTTACTGTTATTACTAAAACAATCGGTTCATTTGGGTCCTAAAAGCCTGCAGCCGGTCAGCTACTATGGCAGAACCTGGAAACGGTGAAAATTAATCACCTCTTATATTATAATACCATCTTTGTATTGTCTCTGTTACAGACTCGGTATTGAGTAACGTGTTATACCCCAACGCAGTACATCATCGGCTTTACCCCTTTACTCTTCTCCCAGGCACAGCTGGAAGGCAGAATGGGAATGTTTATCCTAACGAGCGGGTTTAACCCTTAGGCTAACAAGAATTAGGAAAGGGTTTTGTTTGTGGGGTTGTTGTTTTTTTTTCCAAGCTGGGTTCCTCACCCATCTGGAGAACCTGAGACGCTGTGGCTGCAGTCCACCCGGCTCCTCTTGTCGACGGAGTTCCTCAAACTCACCTTCCCGCTTCCCAGAGAACCCAAACCCAGCTCTTGCTGGGCCATTTCTGCTTCACGCTGGGCTTGTTACGCCGACACACGGAGCTGCGAAGGGGCTCAGCGCCAGCAGTGCCAGCACCACCCTAATTAAGCTGCAGAAATCTTTTCAGCCACTTGATACCCGTTACTTCAGGTTTCACGGGGCGCGTCTGCCGGGACAGAAACATTTTGTTAAATAAGTTCAGCTTTTTGCTGGAGCCGGTGCCATCCCTGGAGGCAGAGCAGGCGGGGGGAACAATGTCCGTACATTTAGTTAAATCGGTTTAAAATTACCTAGAAAGCGAGTGGCTGCAACTGCAGCTTCTTTCAGGACTAATTAGAGATAAACAGCCGTAAAATCAGTATGGCTTCATTTGGCATTCAAGATATCGTAACTACCACTTGTTAATATTCAAGTTCTCGCCAAACCAATCCCTGATTTTTTTGTTTGTAGCAGGAAAAGCCCTTTTTCGCTCTACATCAAGCATCTACGTGAAGGTTAAAGCCCTTAGGAAATGCTTTTTGTTTTGACAGAGATGCCAGTGCTGTCCAGTCCCCTTCTAGAGCAGCCCTGCCCAAACAGTTGCAATTTCACTGCTCATTATCCCTCAGCAAATGCCTTGATCTTAAAGATCATGGGGAGGCAGATTCAAGCAAAAGCGTCAGCAATAACTGACCACAGATCAAGTCATCTTCTAGTAGTCCAGTCTGACCCATCGGTGCTGAGAATCAGGCAGGAGTTTCGACCAAGCCGATTACTGAAATGCTGGAGCTCACAGGGGAGCACAGCCAAGGAACAAGGAGGTCCTTTCCAGCAAAAACTCTTCAGAAGCTCTTATTTTATTTTAAATGGAGAATTAATCTACCCAACAATGGTATTCCCCCCTCCCCGCCTCCGAAATAGCGGTTTCATTGCTTCACAAGTTTTCTAGAAGACAGAAGTGACGACTTCAGTCGGATACCCGTGTGCAAGCTCAGCTGACGTACAGGAACCCACCAAATGCTCACGAGAAATCCACGGCTGTTCTGGAGCTCTGGAGGCTTTGGTACACCTCCCGACCATCACCAACCTCTGCAGCGTTAGTACCGGGGGTCCTCTTCCCCAGAAAGCAGCATATACAGTATGATATTACCCACCCTCTTCAGCCTTGAGCACGCTCGATTTGTTACCGATGTGCTAACCCCAAAGATAAAGGCAAAGGCCGTGCCTGGCTGCGCGCTCGCCACTCATCTTTTTAAGACCAGCCGAATCCTCTAGGTTACTTCTGTCAACATCAAGCACCGAGAACAAAGGCACAAGATTACAGGGATCTCATTAAGTACGTTTGTTCCAAGAACAAGAAATGTGTCTACTTTCCTCTCATGACCTGGGGAAACAAAAAAACCCTTCAGCACGGAAAATTTATTTGCCATCAGCTATGAGCATTTGAATGGGTAATATCCAGTTTAAGAAGAAAAAAAAAAAAGAATTAAAATCTATCCGGTCCTAATCTTTCTATATTGAGACCTCGGGAACAGCATCGTTCTTCTGTTTGAAACAGACAGCGGGGATGGTACATATCTGAAAACTCCAACACACACAAAAAAAACCCCAAACCCAACCCTCATGATATCAAGTGAGCCATTTAACTAAGTATTTAAAACCTCTGCAATTATTAGTTTATTAGTATCATCCAGGATTCAGATGTTCAATATTTCTCCTGAAGTTATACATAAATGCAAATTGAAATAAGAATCTGAAAGTCAAAATTGTATAACAAAACAATACTCCATCACAAAAGCGTGTAAAATTACAAGAATGCTTTTTTTTTTTTTTTTTTTAAACACTGGCACTTAAGAGAACCATAATTTTGTAACCACAAAATTGCCAAATTGTCCCCCAAACTGGTAAGCAGGTATATGTGAAAATAGTTACAGTTGCCAGCACTTGAAGTTTTACTAAATATGCAAAAAAACCCTTAGCTTTGGTTTTGGAAGAGAACTATATTTGACCAAATTAGACATTGTTGGTATACCATAAACATTTCACTTTTTAATGCAAAATTTAATAAAATGTACTTTTCCATACAGCTATATTTAACTTAAAAATGGGCAAACATCAAGAGTGCGGTATAAAACCTAACAGGAAAAATACATCTTATCTCATTTTCAATTTGAGACAATATACAACTTTGTTTAAAGGGCTAAAACTAGAATTTCAAGAATACAAATATGAATTTACATAGATTTAACAAATAATAATGGTACCATTTATAGAAATCTTAGAAAGAAAAATCATTTCTCGTGGGCCATTTGCTACCAGGAGAGTTTCATGGTATAAAGCCCGTGGCCGTCACCAGACCTGTCACCAAAAAATAATATGGTAATTTCATGCTTTTAACTTTACACATTTTAGGTACGCTCATCCCTGGCAAGTGTTCAGAGATTTACAAATACAACTTCCATTACATGGTAACGGAGTCACACATGTAAATTTCTCTACACCGGATGGACATACACTCTTCCTATGGGTCCTTCTAGGACAAAATTTAACATTCCCTCCCTCCCTCCCTCCCCACCCCC